GTGTCACTGTCGCTACGATTACTAGAGACAAATCGAATAGTTAAAATTCATCGGTAAATATTTTTAACAGTTGATGCTATAAAAAAAAGTTATAATACCTACAAGTGTGTATTGAATGTGTCATATATTGCTACGCTTAGCAATTTCATGTTTTACATTCAAGTCGTTACCAAAATAATGTTAAAATTCCAAAATATCAATACTTTGTTTTACTAGACCTTAAAGGCTCAAAAAGTCATAAGGCTACTAAATTGGTATTTATTTGTGAAATTGGAGTATAGTTTGGTGTAATTCTTGACACCGAAATATAAATTGTGTCATAACCGGATTTACTAAGCGCAAAAATCTCCGGGGATGAATTGAACGGAAACGCTTAAATGAGTTTTTTCGAGTCATCGTTTTTTTTTTACTAGACTATAAGAGTGACGATTTTAACCAGGAGAAGAGATATTTAGAACGAAAAAAATTCAAAAAACCCTATTCAAAGCGAAACGTCGTATAAGTGTCACGTCGAGACTGTACACTTTTCGTCGAGAAACGCAAGTGTAGTCTCCCCCCACGTTCGCATATAATAAGCGTACATACCGTTACCCCATTGTTATGCTCGACCTGTTGAAGGAGTTCTCATCTTGCCTGCTGCTTCCACGACCGGCACTCTGCCCCTCCCGTTACGGACCGAATCGATGATTATGAGGGCGACAACAATAAAATCAAATGTACCCGTTCGGCATCCACCTATTTTTAATGGATCATTTCCGCCGACTTGATGTACGCAACATACAATAACCATTTACTATAAACTGATAGCGAAGAAACATTTCAATAAAAAACACGTGTCCCTTTCTCTCGGCTGTATGTTTTACACTAACCAGAAACTCCTTGAAAATTACTCGTGGCCGTTTTTAATAAACGCAGACAATTCATACGGCACAAAGTATGGTTATCTTGTCGTATATGTTGTGATGGTATACCATTCAATATAATCTGAATTTTCAAAAAAATAATAATAATAATAACATTATTTTCCTTACGTTTCACGAGAATCGATAAAATTAACGAAATTCCGACGAAACGCAAAAGAATATTTTAAGAGTTTAGAAAAAGGCGTTTTTCCTCTGGCGCATTTTACATAGCAAACAAAGCGGTGGAGATGACAACCTTTTATAGTTACCCCTCACATTTGCTTCAACGACCGCTGTTTAGAAAACNTAATGTTAAAATTCCAAAATATCAATACTTTGTTTTACTAGACCTTAAAGGCTCAAAAAGTCATAAGGCTACTAAATTGGTATTTATTTGTGAAATTGGAGTATAGTTTGGTGTAATTCTTGACACCGAAATATAAATTGTGTCATAACCGGATTTACTAAGCGCCAAAATCTCCGGGGATGAATTGAACGGAAACGCTTAAATGAGTTTTTTCGAGTCATCGTTTTTTTTTTACTAGACTATAAAAGTGACGATATGAACCAGGAGAAGAGATATTTAGAACGAAAAAAATTCAAAAAACCCTATTCAAAGCGAAACGTCGTATAAGTGTCACGTCGAGACTGTACACTTTTCGTCGAGAAACGCAAGTGTAGTCTCCCCCCACGTTCGCATATAATAAGCGTACATACCGTTACCCCATTGTTATGCTCGACCTGTTGAAGGAGTTCTCATCTTGCCTGCTGCTTCCACGACCGGCACTCTGCCCCTCCCGTTACGGACCGAATCGATGATTATGAGGGCGACAACAATAAAATCAAATGTACCCGTTCGGCATCCACCTATTTTTAATGGATCATTTCCGCCGACTTGATGTACGCAACATACAATAACCATTTACTATAAACTGATAGCGAAGAAACATTTCAATAAAAAACACGTGTCCCTTTCTCTCGGCTGTATGTTTTACACTAACCAGAAACTCCTTGAAAATTACTCGTGGCCGTTTTTAATAAACGCAGACAATTCATACGGCACAAAGTATGGTTATCTTGTCGTATATGTTGTGATGGTATACCATTCAATATAATCTGAATTTTCAAAAAAATNCCACCTATTTTTAATGGATCATTTCCGCCGACTTGATGTACGCAACATACAATAACCATTTACTATAAACTGATAGCGAAGAAACATTTCAATAAAAAACACGTGTCCCTTTCTCTCGGCTGTATGTTTTACACTAACCAGAAACTCCTTGAAAATTACTCGTGGCCGTTTTTAATAACCGCGGGCAATTCATACGGCACAAAGTATGGTTATTTTGTCGTATATGTTGTGATGGTATACCATTCAATATAATCTGAATTTTCAAAAAAATAATAATAATAATAACATTATTTTCCTTACGTTTCACGAGAATCGATAAAATTAACGAAATTCCGACGAAACGCAAAAGAATATTTTAAGAGTTTAGAAAAAGGCGTTTTTCCTCTGGCGCATTTTACATAGCAAACAAAGCGGTGGAGATGACAACCTTTTATAGTTACCCCTCACATTTTCAACGACCGCTGTTTAGAAAAACCGCTGAATAATGTAAGAGTAAAAAAAGCGAGTTTCTTTAAAAAGAAAATTCTAATTTCAGAAAAGTCTTTAATACCAAATAGTTACCGTAGTCAACGATCGCTGAGACGTTAAGTGCAGTGATAATTGCGCTTGTCTGTTACGGATACAGGATGCAAATTAAAAAAGAAACGCTATCGCCGAACTTAACAATAAACTGAACGAGATTCTCTGATTTCTCTTTGTAATTGTATGGAATATTCACAAAATAAGAATAACTACAACAATACCACTTCTCTAAAATCAAAACGATTCAAACCGGAAAATGGAGTTCAGACTGAAGGGAAGATGCTAAAAGGCGATAAAACTCAGTCGATATTTTCACGAGGTAAAATTTTGCGGTAATGAATAAAGCAAAAACGCCAAAGATCGAACAAACACAATAGCAAATAATATAATGATCGCTCGTTTGTATAACGAGGCAAAAGTATTATTTATCTCGTCCCCGTGAACACAGTGACAAACTAAGTTAAGTTTATCAAAAATATCTAAAGATAGCTACGACTTTCATCTCAGTGTCAGCTCGTTGGGCTTTTAAATGATTTACAGGAGTTTATACGGTATGAAAACAACGTACGTTACGCGGAAAAAAGAGATACCGATATGACACTTTAAAAAAACTCATTTTGGCAGCAAGATGTTATCGAATGACAGTTTAGCGCGCATCGTGTAAGTCTCATAATCCGCAACAGCTGCTTTGCTCACTCGGCGCGTAGACGACACCCGCGTTTTAAGCAAAACGACTCGTTGCCCAAACATTGTTTTGTTTATATCTCTTCGAATATGATTTGTGTACAAGACGTTTACAATGATCTCGTCGGGTTTTACTGCCTAAACGTACTCAAGTTATCAAACGACAATAAGCACAAAGCTGCTTGAAATAAATTCTATCAATAAACAGTTCGAGTTCACTCAAATATTCAACTATTCAACGATCGCGGTGTTTTCATAAATCACTTTCAACGATCTTGTAATGTTAAAAAATGTATAGAGCTGCTTATAAGAAATATCTTTGCAATTAACTGAACGCCTGTCTACGCGTCAGTTATTTCTCCGAATATACTAAAAAAATACACAAAACGTTCAATACCAGTAGTTGTCACTTGAAAAAATATTCTGTTGTCAGTAATTTTATTAGTATACTATTACAAAAATATGAGTGTCTCTCCTCGAGTAGAATAATCGGATCACATTCTTTCGGTGCACGTCATTTTTAACGTGTACCGGTTTTTTATTTTCGATAACCGGATTACTACCGAGCCATTGTTAATAGACGAGTAACACGTGTACTTTTAAAACAGAGTTTGGTAAAACAGTAACAATCAATATGTAATAAAAGTATAGGTTAACGGCAATACACAGAATTATAGTTTTCGTATAAATATGCACGACGAATAAATAATTGAGTTTAATTTGTCACGAAATTAGTTATTTCCGAACAACATAAAACCAATAAAATAAATACTGTACCTTTTGGAACACAGAAAATCATGACAACCAAACTTTCATTTACACGATTACGATTGTAAAGGTTTGGCAATCAACTGCAAATGGGAAAACTGTTGACATTTACAGTACATTTGATTTGTAATACAACACATTTTCGGTATATTATTTGAAGAACAAAAATCTGAGAACGGCGTTTTTGTTAAAAAATAACCTACGATAATATTTACTCGATTAATGTTCCTTAGTAAAATATGCAGAACGATAAAATCTTTCACACTTACATTCATAAACACGCTCATAAATACATTAATAATTGTTACCAAGTTGATACGTCACCTGACAGTACACGTATATCGATTATTATACTAATTTCAAAGGCAAAGACCTTTCAATTAACACTTAAAATTCATAAAATCCCTTCGCCACCTCCTTTCGATATAATGATATTATGAATCAAAAGCACGCACCTCCTTAAATCGTATTGTAGGTAAAAAGTGTACTGTGTTCCGTGCAACAGTGTACTCAAATATCTTAATGTTTATAATGTTATAAAAGTATGACGTGTTTTTAAGTAGGTTAGATCATTATTATCACTATTTTATTTTTTATATGAAATGTGTCAACGAATTCTTTAATCCGTAGAATTAAATTCAAAACGAATAAAATAGATATATTTTTTTAGTTTATTATGTAAACTAATTGTAAAATGTTGGATTATGGCTGATCGATTTTCTATGAATATATTTTTTTAAACTGACAACACGACACATATTAACACATAACGTATTATTGTTATGTTTATTTTCAATTTTTATGTTAATATTAAGACTTCATATTAATTGTTTATTTTTAATTTTTTTCGACGGTAAACAAACGTTTTTCGTTTTTCGCCTTCATAAACATAGGGATTTTTACTATAACTATCCATGATATAATTCAAACATTTTTTAACTAGAGTTCTCCTGTTGAATGCATACTAATATTTAAAAAAAGTGACTTACCACCAAATACAATGCCGTTTTTGGGCGTAGAATTCATGATGCGTTGTATTTCACCAGCTTCACTGCCTGATTCTGAACCTGCCGATTGTTGATATTGAGGTGGCCACCATCTCTGCTGTTGTTGTTGCTGATTGCGTACAGTTCCATAAACAGCAGTAGACGGACTTCTTCTGGGAACGGGTGGCAATGGTCGTTCGATGACGTTCGTCGACGAATCGGTGCCCGACGATCGGCTTCTCGTAGGAGGCTGCGGTGAAAGACCTTTTTTTGTCGGCCAATAAATTGGTTCCGACGGTTGGCCCGTAGGCTGTGGCGAGAAACTCACTCTTTTAGGACTGGCTGGCACCGAGTTAACAGCGGTCGGTGATGGAAGTTCCGGTTGTAGGGTACCTCTTTTGAAAATCGGCTGAAACCGTTTTTCGTCCGACCGCCGAACACCGTTGTTATCATCGTCTTCCTCGTAAATTGTCGACTGTCTGGAAGGCGATTCGCGCACACAACCAATTGTAGCTCTTTGCGGCGAGCCTCGCACGAAATGGTTGTTGCTCTGAGGAGTAGTCGCGGGTATATTACCGTAGACGGTATGCACGGGGTGCTGCCGGACGACGTTACTTGGTTGTGGAGGAACAGATATTTTAACCTGAGCGCTTACCGGCATCAACAACCTGTTATCGGCGGCACGGTTGTTGTAATACTGCGAATATGGTATGATGGGCGCAGACCGCCGACCCGATTGTCTGCTGTCTTCGGAAATAGCCGATTGCAAAGAGCACGTGCTGTCTATTCGCCGTTGACCGTACAAATTGGCGTTCACATCTCGGTCGAAGGATCCTGGACTCACACTTCGCGACCGGAAATCTGTCACGTCGGCGGCCCTTTGTGTTTGTTGCCGCTGTTGATACTGCGGTATGCGTCCGTAAGCTGCCGCGTTGCTATTGTTGACAAACGCCGTCTCTATGATAGTCTTGTGTCGTGCTGTCGGCGGTTCGTGTTTGTTGTTATTGCCGTTGTTGATCTTGTGCTTTTGGACATCGCCTACTGTAAATATAGCCGGAGTCAATAACCTCCGGATCGAGTTACTCTTTTTCTTGTTGTCCGTAGTGTTGGCGACGCCGTTCGTCTCCGCCATCGCAGTCGGTCCCATTTGTCAATTATTTGAAAAAAGTTTCTCCGTTAACTCGATATACTGTTGGCTATTCATAGTTGATATCCTGTTCAACAATAATAAACCATGAGAACTTAACAGAGTATCTAATGATACGAAATTCAATACAAGACCACTCAGTTATTGTTAGTTTTTTACTTTTTAATTACTTAGCATACCAAAACATTCCAGTTTTTGTGTGATTTGATAAATTAGTTTATGTAACATTGAATTTAACTCGAGTCGACATGGCGCAACCCAATAAACACTGCACATGTAATAGGTATGTACACATAGAAAACATTTACCAATAAAAAGACTAACAATAATCGAGGTGATTAATTGAGCTATAAAATTTAACATGACGCTGTAATATTTTTTTATATATGTAAGTGTTCGTAGACACTTGCTGAGTGGATATTCTATACGATTTTATAGCGTCCGTTTTAACATTTATTTACATAAAAGTCTACACAATGAACTTAACGCCATCATAAAACATTCATTGAAAGCTTTCCACGATTAATAACAAAGAAATGGCATTTTTAAATCGAAACTCTTAAAAATAATAATTGTATATCATTGATCTAAACTTTTAACACTTTTGAATTAACGTCAGTTTAAGCAATACATTCTTGTTTAAATAAATTACATTTTGTAACCAACGGAAATATTATGCGAGACTGACATTTCACACATATGACGTGAAAAGAAGTAATTATTATATTTGCTATTTATTGTATGGACTTCAAAATACCATTTTAAATTGTAAACGCGAACTTAAAAAAAAAAAACTTAAATATAAATACAGTGATTACATGGTATGTACATTTGCTGTTGGTAACAAACAATACATTGTATTACCTAAACACTTTCATTATTAAGAACAATATTATCAGATTTGACCAATTAGCATTTTTTAAATTATTTTGTTTGTTTAGGATAAAACAGTGTTATTATAATGCTAAAAATAAAAAGAGATCAGACGAAAAAATTAATAATTAAGTATATCGTGTTTACATATTAATATAATTCGATAATTAGACATCAATTAATTTGTGTTAATAAAAGGTTCTACTTATATATTGACACAGTGAAAACAATCTTCTCGTGTTATCGGGGGTCATCATGCAGTTAGAACTAAAAAATAAAACATTTCTAATTCCAAATAAAATAGATAAAATAGAATGACTTCATCAAGAATAAAGTGTATTAAAAACAAAACAAAAGGCCAACTCAATTATCTCATAAACTAGTTTAAACTTGACTGCACAAACAAGTTACGCTGTTCAAATACTGTTAACTTGTATTTCACTACCCTTTTTTTACGACCTAACATGATTTTAAAACTTCAATAAACAAGGTAACATTTAATCGTTTGATAAGGTACTAAACAGAATACCTAAGCGAAGAAACGGCAAAGAATACTAATAAACGTTTAAACTAACCATGCAACAAATTTACGTAGTGGACTTTAACATTAATAGCTATACCTATAATAATACGTTTTACGGTTTTTCGTTCTAAAAAAATAAAATAAAAAACGTCAGTCGACCACTTGGGTATTTAACTTCATTAGGATTCCCGCACCCGACTTCGGTCAGGATGTTTTAACTGCAAAATCTTTGTCGCGTTTCACCCTTTTTACCGACGAATCCGATAAGACCGTGTACCCTTTTTGCGTTTTAATTCTTTTGTTTAGCTTTTTCGGCAATGTTTTATCTGAGCAAACGTGTTTAAATGCAAAACATTCGTAAACGGTGGCAGCTCCGTACATTGTATTGTGTTCATATGTTAGTCGTGTGTATATTGTACACACTTAAACACACAACAACGCCCTCGCATTTCAGACGAGACGTACAAATGTGTTAATGAATACATAACCGCGATGACACCAGAGATAATTATCCCTTTACTTATTGTAATCCAATAGTAGTATTTTATTATTAGAACAACAGTAATCCGAGACAAGACTAAAAACGAGTGTACATTAATTGTTTAATTTAACTTTCACTCGGTGTTGTTAAATATTAATCAATGGAGAATTTATACCAACCAAGGGTCATTTGACATAAGACCAAATTAATTGAGGTATTCCTAGCAAACATTTTTAATAAGTTCACGCCCCTTTCTGTCCCAAATGAGTAGTATTTGTGCGATGATATAGCGCGTTTAACTTCAACAACTTAAGGGATCAAAAGCGATACCTTTTGAAAATCAAACCACTACAAGTTTCAGATACACTAGTTGATTTTGAACTACCTAGTACATAAATTAAAACACAAGTAATTATAATCTCTACCTATCCGTAAGCTGCAATTAATTATTATAAAAGCCTCTATTGCGAAAGGATAATGTTCCATCGATTAATCATTTGTCTTTTTTAAACACAATCTACAAAGTTTTATGATACGAACAGCTATTTGTCTTTTACAATATCCGTTTTTGTTATGGCACCACTTCACTTTAAAAATGCTCATAAAAATTTTCTTCACACATAAAATAAATAAATATACGAGTTTTTCAAAAAATTAACATATGAAAAAGACGTGTTCATTTGAGCGTAAAGCGTGAACATTTTTAATTAATTTTGCAGCTAACTAAATAGTTGATTTCTCAATCGGCTCTCTTTTTATCACATACAAGCTAAACTACGTGAATTAACTTTTTTTACGCTTTCCGAAAAAAACGTAAAATTCAACGAGATATATTTATATAGAGTATAAAAAAAAAAAAAAAAACTATAAACACATGAAAATTAAAATAATTTCCAATGAAACGATAATACATGGTTTTATTTATTTTATTGTACTACCATAATATTGCACACTATTGTAATAGTAATTTATGTTAAATAAATACCAACAATTACTATTGAAAATTTATCTATCATATATCACTTGAATAATTAAATAAATGTGNCAACAATTACTATTGAAAATTTATCTATCATATATCACTTGAATAATTAAATAAATGTGTTATCATAAATCGACACACTTGAATTATAGAGCATGTACATTGTACATGCTTTTTTATAAAAAAAAATTAAGTTTGTAAATTATACAAATCTAAAAAAATATCTCGAATTCTCTAAGATTCCGTATATTTTTTAATACAAATATCTCTAAGTTATTAGAACACACTGATTATTAACAACTATAACTATTATACTAATGTATATAATACAGGCTTTTGACATTATTCAAAATTAATTGATAACCAAAAATTAACAATAAATTTTACGATTAGGCTGATGAATAAAAAAAAGTTTAAATTGAATAACTATTCAATTTATTTACAAATATATGCTGTAAAAATCTTAAAAACAAAAAGTTATATATAACTTCTAATAATCATAATAATTTTATTATTGAATTGTCTTGAAAATCTTTTCTTAACAATAAACGAATGCACACATGTTTCTCTACTATTGAAACACTTTTTCATCTATTTTTCAAGAGTTATTTGATAAAAATCTTTATCAAAAAGGTTCTTGAAAATTATCTTTGATGACATAAATATTAATTTTTTTTATCGACATACTAAGTTTAGAATACGGTAATGATTATTCGACAACATTTTTATAGATTTTTTTAAACTTTGAGTTTTATCGATGGCAAACATAGTTGAGTCTAAAATATTGTTATTAGTATTTTATCCATTTATAGTTAATTTTACTTGCGAGATTGTAATTAATAGAAACACATGTGGTCGTTTTTATTGAACTGTTGATTTTGGATCCTAATCGAGAAAACAATCAAGTAACCTTTATATAAATATATTGATAGATACCACATGGAAAGTAAAGTGTTAGTTAAACATAAAACAATAATAAACAATTGCTTTTCAATACAAATACGAGATAAACATTTTAAAGAAGTTTTTAATTACTTTTTTATTTAACTCGTATCAATCTTTAATAATAGAAAAATGTGCAATGATCATAAATCACAATTTGACATTCTAAGTCCATTTATACATAAAGAACTTACACAGTGGCGCATCTAAGTGATGGTTAAGGGTTATAACTCCTCATGAATGATTTTCTATGTTTTAAGATTTAGTCGTGATAAACTTTTGTTTTACACATTCGAGTTTTCTGAAAGTACTGCACTCTTAGTACAAAAAAAGGTAATAACCCCCTTGAAATTATTTTCTGGTTGTACCATTGAACTCGTGTGATATTTGTGAAAAATGACAGTATAATGGTTTAATGAGGTACACGTAGGATCGAACAGTTATAATAAAACGGTTAAATGTAATGTTTAATAGATGAAATGTTGAAAGCTCATTTGAGTTCCAAAATATTCATACTGCAGAAAATAAAAAGTAAAGTGCCTTTTAATGATCATGACACCTGCGCACATTAAACAAACAGTGCATCTACAATTGTTTTTTTACTTATTTAAGTATATTTATGTTATAAAAAAAATTAAACAATAGAATAAATTATGTAAAACAATTTTTGTTGCTCTTTTTTTTTTTGTGTGTAAACTCTAAAATGAATGTCAAAATTAGTATTAAGTAAAAAAAAAATGTGATATATTCTATTTTCAAGCTAAAATGAAATTGGAGAGAAGAGAATAAAATAAAGTCACAATACTCTTAGTTTAAATTATTAAAAATTTTACCAATAGCACAAAAGTCTTATTATATTATTCTCACTTATAAAATTTGCACAAAATTTAAACAATTAAAATTACACGCTATTTATCGATAAGAATATTGTTGTTCCAAATTTTGGCAGTAGTAAATGTTTTAATTATAAACATTATATTTTGTTGAAAAATCAGTATAAGGTGGTCACCACGCTGTTTATTCTCAGAAGAAATAAAACGTTTTTAATAATTTTTTTCTTAAGAAATCTAATGTAAAGATCTATTGTATCCTACGTGCTCGAACAATGAACTGTAATTTAACGAGTTTGCATTTTTACAGTGCCAAAACCACAATAATATTGTCGTCGACGTATAAGGCTTAGCTCGTTTTGGTAACTGAATTTAGTGTTTTATTTAGTCCCAACAACGATAAGAACACGCGGCCAAGAAATAATAAACGTCGGTA